TTTTTGAACATCTGGACCATTTGTCTAAGCATTCTAGTCCTGGGCAGGGCTCTATTAATTTGTATTCTACTGAGAGAAGTTATTCCCCTTTTCCGTTCACTTTTGATAATTAATCACTGTAAATAATGTATTTGAAAGGTAAATAGAATAAGATAATTATGCAAGAATGTTTATCATATAATTCAAAAAGTATTTTCTTAGTTTTAATAATCAGGTAGACCTGTAAGTAATAGATAAATAAAAATGAGACAAAAATAACTTATCTTATTAAAAGTTCTTCAAAGACCATAAGAGAGGTCAATGCTAGAGGTCTTAATATGGGTTTAAAAATAGTACAGAAGCACTAATAGTTTGTTAATAGTCTCCATGGTGATAGTGTTAAGTGGAGCACAGATTAGAACTTAATTTATGAGTTGATACTGAATACTAGACTAATTATTTTGTTGATCCTGATCTTCCTACTTCTCTTGCTTTAGGGCAAAAAAGCTTCATCTGTCAGTGTATTGAACTTCTAAATTGTTGTATTATACTCAGGTGACCGTTAAGGCCCTTGGGCCTCTTGTTTTGAGAATCCAAAATTGATTGTAGATGGCGCCAATGCCACAGGAATTTAAGAAATCGGGAAGTGTTCAGGCAAAACATGGGAATGTTGAAAATATTAGAGAACTGCAGCCAGTAAGAATGGTCCCAGAAGAAGGTCGAATACAGAGAGAACGCGAAGGATCACGATGCGATGAAGAGCAAATGTTTATGTTACAGCAAGAAATCGACAAGCTGAATGAGCAGCTTAATATCAAAAACACAGAAATTGAAGACTTGACAACCAGGTAGGCCATTATAAAAGATTTTCAAAGAACACAATTCCGTGAAATTAGTAAATGTAGACTAGTTCTTGCACATGATACGATGTAAATTTATTTCAGATTGAGTCAAGCGGCGAGTAATAGTTTGATGTATAACAACCCAAGCATAGCTGATCTAAGTGATAAAAATCGTCCGACAAAATTAGGAGAACGGTTTGGGCAGCTTTACGATAATGAGTGGTCTGAAGCCTACGAAACTCTAAAAATTTCAATACCTTCAGAGAATATTATATACTCTATTCTTGCGGAGGTTGTCAAGGTGAGTTCATTATTTAAATACATCTAGCCTAAGTTTAGAATTCCTTAATCGTGCCATTAAGGATGTCCGCTCCTCAGCCAGGAACATAGCTCTTTAATTTATCAATAAATTGAATAGTTCTCAAAATGAAGAATGAAATTAATTTTTTGCAATTTTAATTTCATGCATCTAAATAAGATTCAGGGTTCTTTGAAGTTTTCAAAAAGGTCTTGTAAAAAGTAAACAGTTGCATCCCATAAAAGTACAAAATGAATAAATTTATGTGAATATTTAAATACTAGTATGTAAATACAATGTAACGTTTTTAGAGAAATTGAATTTCATTTAGTTTATAACCAATCATTATAACCAATGTATATTAGCATGAAATGAAATTGAAAGGGATTTGTGACATCACGTTTTACACTATCATTATATAACAATTGAAGTTAAATAGAAGAAATAAAATACCACATACGTATATAAATAACATGCGTTTTTTTTTCCGAATGCCTACATACGTATAGTTCTTTTTTGTCCTAAAAATACTCGTTGATCAATTTTCAATTATAAAATGTATAATTGGTGCTTTTATTAACGTTTCTTAAAAATATATATTTGAGAATTGATAATCTCCCCTAAATGATATGATTAACTAAACTGATGAACTTTCAATAAATAACACGGATATATACACAATACATGTACTTCGTGAATTCAGTGACATGTTTGTGCGCATTTTCAGTTACTTAACTGGGGGGTCACCCGCGTGGCGCAATGGTTAGAGCGTCTGCTCTAGAATCGCAAAGTAAGGAGTTGATCCTTATGTCGCGGGTTCGAATCCCACTGGGGGACGTGGAGACCGGTCCTTCGGATGAGACCGTACAAACCGAGGTACCGTGTCGCAGTAGGTGCTGGCACGAAAAAGATCGCTCAATGGCCGTAAGTACCGAGTATAGGACAAAATTTGCAGCTCTCCACCGGCAAGTGGTGGCGTCTCCATACGAGTGAAAAATCCTCGAGAGGGACGTTAAACAACATATAAACAAACAAACAAACTTAACTGCAGGACCCGAGGAACGGACAACCATAAGCTGAATGGAATACATAAATTAAATGAATTACGATGTATAATAACCAGGGCACATATTACATATACATGTATATACATTAATGAACACTAATTTTCACAATATTCATATTAGGATATATTCCAATATTGTGAAAAGGCCTTACAGCAGCAAATTGCAGACATCAAACATGATCTGGAAAAAAGAACAAGGGAGCCTCGATTTTTTGACGATAAAAAGGTAAAATCGAAAGAGGATTTCATTTTTTTAAATGTAGATTTTCAATGAAAATTCAATATTTTTGACAAGTTATTTGAAAAAGCATAAGAAAAAAAGAAAACTCTAGCAGTATAACATTATACTACTTCAATATTATATTATATCATTTCTTATGCCGTATATTTTTAGTCATTTTCTGGGATTGGAAAAACAGATGAAATGTTGAGTTGGATGTGTGAAAAATATGCCACGGAGTTTCAGAAAGGAAACGCTGTGTATTCAGTGCAAGGTTTGACCAAGGTAAGGACTAGTGGTCACATGCATGTAATACTGTGATAGATAACATCGATATTAATAGGTCTTGCCTACCTAGGCAAACATTTGAGCAATTAAAATGTAAGACATTTAATTTCTATAATGAAACTACATGGACTGTAGATTAATTAATTCCAAATCAGGGATAAATAAAGAATTTAAAAAAAAAACAATATTCCTTCCTTTTAACACATTTTACATGAGAAGAAACACAAAAAATGTACATAGAATTTTTAAGTTGAAAACCTTATGAACAAATCTAAAATTTAAATTCACAGACGCGCCTCGGATAGTCCCAGCCCATCACAACAGTTGCTCTCAACAATATTTATGATTATGATTCACATAAAAAATCTATTATTGTTTAAATAACGATATTTTTGCTTTTCAGATTTATAAAGATTATTGTAAACATAGACAATTTTTAAACAGTTATCCTGGAATTATGGAGAAGATAGAATCATATGTGAACCTTGCAGTTGAGTTGTGTTGGTTGATGTGTGCACAGACCCCTCCCATGCAGCTACTCTTTGCAAGAAGGAACGATAAAGTTGATAAAACTTACTTCCGGTGCATGGGACACTCTGGAGATAAAGTTGATATTTGTATTTGGCCTGCGGTGTTACTCCATGATGGAGGCCCGGTTGTAATGAAGGGACAAATCTTACCTTTGTAAATTTAGATATAATTGGTCTCAAATATTTTAATAATTTTGCATGATCATCTTTAAGAATTTATTTAAATTATGAGTGACTAATAGAATGTTGAGTCATTTGCATTTATATTTTAAATAAACTGAGTGTCGTCTTTATGTTAATACTAGTATTTTTGTACAGTACTGTCGAGTTATAGTACACGGATTTATTACTTTTTCTCGTTAAAAATGAATGAAAGGAACTGGATATCTGATTGGTAAATGACTAAATGTACTCACTTTCACAACAGATATTAAAACTGCACATCTTTGTATTTTGTTTTAATAATTTTGCAATTGTTCATCTCAAAAAAAAAAAAAAAATTACATAGATTCACATTATTCCATTTATTCTGTCAAATGATAATAAAAAAAATAACAGAATATATTATAGTCTTACAGTATACATGTGTAATTTACGGAAGCTCATATAGACCTATCAAAAATCATTTTGAATTCGATGTATGGAATTGTTGAATTTGTTAAAACGAATTTCATGTGATATATCAGTTTTTCCTTTGGTTATAATGAATTAAATTTGATAGTATAACAGATTTGTTGAATTCGTTAATGCATATAGTTCCTACTGTATATTCTACCGCGCAATGATAAGGCTTCGTGTGTGTTATGGGGTATTGAATGGTGTAGATTTCCAATGGATTTCTTTGAGAAAATTACAGTGAATGTAAATACTGGTATGACAAATTAAAAAAAAAATGTTACAACAGAATGAATTCGTTCAAACTACTCCCAGAATTTGTTAAACCAATTAAATTCGTTTTATTGAATCCGACATTTAAGGCCTGTAGAAAAATATTTATGAATTCGAAAAAGCGAATTGTCAGATTTCGTTTAAACGAATTTAATAAGCTATTGCAAAATTAAGAGTTCGTTAAAAAAAATTAATTCATTATAATAAAATTTGATTTTGTCATAACGAATTCAAGAAATTTGTTGTAACACATTAAATTTGTTACAACGAATTCAAAAAATTGATATAACGAATTAAATATGTTTTACAAAGTTGACAATCCATTACAATGTATATCGGATTCAAAAATTTTTTTATGATTCCTAAATGGGCTTCCGTAGCAGTTACATGTACGTGGATAATCACACACACACACACACCCTCACCCTCACACACACACACACTTGAACATTTCAGGGTTTTATTACAACAGAAGATAGCAATGTCGAAACTATCCATCTACCTATCTATGGTGTAAAGTATACAGAATAATGGACACCTCTAACGTCGCGCAACAGAGATTTGTAAATTTACTTGTAACTACATTTTGTGCGACAATTATAATTCATTATACTTACTGCCTGCGAAAGCCAACTTTGAATGCTAAGAGTATGATACAATGTATATTTTATTTTTTTAAAAATCAAAGTACAGATTTAGAATCCAGATCATAGATTTTTTTTATTGGAAAAACCAAACATTAGCTTTGGCGCATTCCCAATAATATGACACGTATAATTATATCTTTGCTTTAAAGGGACAAAACGGGAACAAAAAATCATTATTAAATCTGCATGTTAACGACATTGCTGTTAGATATGCTTCAGTGGGTAGAGACCCCCATAACCAGGAAGATTGTTCTGAAGGACTGCTAGAATGGCGTCCCTCTCTATTTTCAGTTTTTTCCTTTTGATGTATTTTTTGGACAAAGCTGGTAAGTTGATACATTTATTTGGGTCTAATGGCAGTAGTTTACTTCCCATTTTGTGAATAATTGTATACCTCATGAATTTTAGTGAGGTAAACTATGAAAAAAATTTTTTTTTTAAATTAATGAATGTTCTTTTCGATTCTCATGTTTCCCTATTTGGAGACATGATCAATATCTCTTTTCTCTCTGGTATATGATCAGTTGATTTTTTGCTTTAGATTTCAATCCATTATTAAAGTATGTTAAACTATAACTATTTTTAAAAAAATCTTCCTATTAGAATAACGACATTGATATTAAACAAATGTCTATTTCAGTCTGAAGGTATTAAAACTGTGATTAAAATAAAACGAAAGGAGGACAGCGATACTAAAATACAGCAATTTATTTAAAAACAGAGTTGTTATTTTAAACTTATAAGATCTTTAGTTTGGAGATGGTGATTTATTTTATAAACAAGATTGACCAACAAAACGCACTCATGAAGAACTAAGCAAAACGTTGATAAATCACCAGGAACCACCAGAACTTATATGTACTTTTGACAATTATCAATTTGAAATAAAAAAGTGTAAATGTAACTTGCATTGGGGGACCAGTACAGAATATATTTAACAAACGAGACAGAACATGACATATGGAATGACATTATTAGATAGACAAACCTGTACAGTGAGGCAGAATTAACATACATTGTACCACGTGGAATGACATTATTAGATAGAAATTTCCCTTTTAGACGGAGATCCGTGTTCTATGTACAGTGTATTGTCGGGAGAGATTCGCCGATCTACAGCCTATACCTTGACGCCTTCCGACACTGCCATCTGTGACAACTTCCTGACAGAGCAATGGTATCGGATAGACAGTCCAGCCGGGAACGAGATTGTCCGCTCCTGCCCTTCTATGACGCAGTGTGGAACAATGTATCCGATGTGGATGAATGGTATGTAAATGTTGCTCTCTACTCGATTTTAAAACGTTATATGTGCGCACTTTAACTTAAAAAATGAAAAAAAAAGGCTTGTAAAAATGGAGAGAAGACCCGGAAATCTTAAAAAAAAAATGAACTTTTTACAAAAAAATAAATCCATTGTATTAATTCGCGACTATTTTTAAAACCTATAATGTGGCGACAAATTCTCAGGGGTATGCATATCCTGTCCATTGCAGTGTTTATCAATGAATCGATGTTTTTGGTTCGAACCTCGCATGGAGCGTATTTTTTTTAAACAAACAATCAAGTCGTTTATAGTTTAATTTATTTACTAATTTAATAAAAAAAATTTCAATATAATTCAATTTTATTTTTTTGCACCAAAAGCGAAAGAAATTCTTCCAACCTACTGAACGTATTATGCGTTTACATCTAACTATTCCCAATTATCTTATAGGTGTTTATTATATATGTGAAACGCTGGCGGTTCTAGAGGGGGCAGGGGGCCCGCCTCCTCCCTTTGTGTCCAAAAACATACATAAGAAAATTTATTAATAAATCAATTCTTTAGGGTGTGGGATATTGCATTTGCATTACTTATTCCTAAAATACAGCTAAAGTAAGTCAAAAGACCGTACCAAAAAAATTCTAAAACCCGAGAGCTTTCAGGGGCTTTGCCCTCTGTGCCCCTACCCTACCCCAGCTAGTTCGCCCCCCCCCCCTTTTCAAGAATCCTGGATCCGCCACTGTGAATTGTTACTATTAAGATAAAACAGACTTAAATATTACAATTTCACAAGGTATTTAAATGCATCAATGTGATTTTTTCCTATGTGCATTACTTTATATGTCCATCCGTGGGGAGCCGACCAAATCATCTGTTTAAACTATAATTCGTACATACATGAACGATTCCTGCAGATCACGCGCCAAGTACGCTCATCTTCTTTATTATTCTCAACCACAATATACTTCTTTAAATCTGACATTTTTAAATCATTCACAATATTTCAGATTCCGTGGATTAAAAATTGATCTGTCTCATGTGTATTTTTACAGGCAACCTTCCGTTGATATCTGACGGTGAAGTGGACAGGACAGTGTGTCAAAGTGGAATAAGCGGATGTTGCGAATCTTCGCTGACTATCAAAGTCAAGAATTGTGGGACATACTATGTGTATTTTCTGAAAAAGCCTTCTGGATGTCCAATTTCATATTGTTTCGGTTCGTATCTACTGCAAGAATAACTTTAAAGAGGCGTATTTTGCACCATTTTTATTTCAATCACATATACAGTGTATATATATATATATATATATATATATATATATATATATATATATATATATATATATATATATATATATATATAATTTATGTATTTATAATAAATTTTACAATTACTTTTGGTGTATTTTGGATACAGAGTTTATAGCTTATAATTTTGAATATTTGCCCGTCTTTAGGTACACTGTATGTAAATGCAACAACGACAACAACGACAACAACCACGACCACAACCGCTCCTCCGACAACAGGAGGTCCGTCTACGACAACTGAATGTGACAAAGATGACAGAGACGACGACGAGAGAAATGAAAAAAGTAACTGTTGATACTTACACAATAATGCTTCACTAAAAGATTGGTGTTTGTTTTTATTACTGCAAGCTTTTGAAAAAAATCTGAAATGGTATTTCAAAAGTGTAGTTGTAATTTTGATTTAATAAGCTAATTTATTTGTAAAAATATTACATTGTAATGACTAGCCTTTAATTCTTTACCTGTGTTCGACATACATGTAGTATATTTTATGTGTTTACTTTTTAGAACACAAGCATGGTAGACGCTACAAGAAACATGCGATGATGGCATCCGCTGGTCTTGCTTTCGTGGTATTTCTTATACTGCTATCAATGTGCATCTACAAACTTTACAAGTAAGTTGTTATGCCAGAAAAACTTATTGAAAAATACGTCATAGTTACATAACCCTGCAAACAAAATTTGATGCATGCATATGGATCATCCTGTTTTTCTGTCCCTACGCGTATGCATATGGTCATGAGTTTGGAGCGAAAAAACATCGGAAGCTCAGACGCATACTTGTTATACAATTGCTTGTGATCTACTGTATGAGAGATTTATGATCTTAATCTCTACCCAAGATCTCTTGAGAATTTTACCAGAAAAATGTAAAATAGAAAGATTAACTTTTTCATCATGGCATATGATGTTTACTTGCTTGATTTAAATGGCTGAATAGTTACGGTTGTCATGTTGCAAATGTGTCTAAAAACTTCATCTAAGGTTAGTGTCAATTGAAGAACGGAATAAATCGTGATAGGTGAAATCATTCTATGAATTCGTTAACAGTATCTCTAGTTTCACAATATATGATTATTAAAACTCCTGAATTATTGATGGTGTGAAATCTAAATTAATTTATATTTTAAAAACCAAATTATATTTGTACATTTAACTAGACGGAAGAATCCAAAGGCAAACGATAAGGTGGAACCAATCGACTTTATTGAACCTGTTACTGGTTCTGAAAAGACCCCACTTCCTGAACAATGGGTAGTTGTTGTACCGTCCGCCCCTCCTATTCAGCTGCAAAACTCCTTCATCAAGAAGACCGCGAAGGAGGATGATTCTCAGCCATGATTTGACAGAGAGGAACACAAACTGTTGAATTTTTTTTAAAACTGAATGTTATCAATAAACATTGTCATTTGCTGTTCTGCTTTGGGTAAAAATAATTTTTGAAAGCTGGAATATTATTTTACAATAAAAAATTAATTATATTTTTTTTTATTTCAAAGGTGTGTATGCTTACGTAAAAAATAAGATATATTGCTTAAAGCAATATGAGCTGCAACTGTGATGTCGGAAATTTCTGTTGCAAAATAATTGTTATTAACTACTTCAAGGATAGAAAAAAGACCGATTATAAACTTTTGTTGATCATATTTGCAATGAAAGAACTATTTATAAGCTTTGATTGAAGCAAAACTACATTATTGTCGTCTTGTACAATTTTGATATCTTATATAATACTATATTTTCAATTGTACAGAAGTCTTTCTTCTGAAACAATTTAATACTTTATTTTAGTGTAATTGATCATACAAAAAATACATACAAATGTAGCATAATAACATATTTTAATAGCAAAATAAAATTCTCACAAAATGCAGCTCATATTTGCTTAACAAAATCACCTGATTCACTCATATGACATCGCTATCCATACTTTGTAAGGCACCCTTTGTACTTACAAAGTATGGCTTCTCTAAAATAACTGGTATATTTATCTAAAAAAAAAAAAATCTAGTATCTACATGTACATGTGAATGGAAGCAACTTGTGTTAATGTTTCTTTTCACCCCCAACCTGCTGAATACTAGAGGTGGGATTAAGGCCGAATTTAAGTTGTGGCTAATTCGATCGTTAAGTAACGAATAATGCTAAATATCCGAAAATGCCAAAGTCTTTTGTACAAACAGTTCAGGAGCAGTAAATTAGTTTAAATTATATTTTTTGTTACTGTTAATCTCTTTCTTTCAGTTGTTTTATTTTTTTACTTATTTCTTTTTGCGTGGCGGGCTGTCATCGTTATGTTTATAATGTTATCATAATGTGTTACTCCTCCAAAAGTTTTCTCTGACATTAATAGATCCTGCTTGCTAGTACAAATATAGAATGCAATAGAGGACATTTTTTTATCAACAGTGTTTTTGCTGTTAATATTTTTATAATTATATAAAAGTCTGTAACACTATTCAAAATACTTCACTCCACTGCTGGTAAAGTTCATATGTACATATACCTATACTTAAGTAAATGGTTCTGTTTATAGCTATAGATTTTTCATGTAGAATGCGTTGCCTTTAACACGAGGAAACCAATCTATAAATGTTTTAAAAAATAAATGTTGTTTCCTCCCAAATATCCTTTATTTCAAGCCTGAAAGCTATAGTCGCATTGAAGACTTTTTTCTCCATTTTGAATTCATCTGTACATACTTTTCCAATTATTGAGTAGATTATGAAATTTGAGTACCCATCCGATATAAGTAGGATATACGTTTTTATATTTTGAAGTGGTTACATACATGTATGTAAATTTATCTTTTCAGCGAATCTTCATGTAGACAATTTTTTTCTTTAGAGTTTTAAAACGATGGTCACGAGTGATCAGATTTTTCTTCGTCACATCTTGAAAATTCACGTCGTTGTGAGATCTGATTTTTTTAAAATTGCTTTTTATATTTTTTACTTCAATAAAACTAACGAAAAAAATGTGGATTGTTTGAGAATTAAGTTTTATTAGAATTGCTGTGATATTTTTAATAAAAAATAAAATATTTTGTGCATAATTTTTCAACCATAAGATAAGAATTGTTGTTGATTTTTATGATAATTCAAATTATCATATTGTACACTAAATATAGTATTATAATTTGCTTTAAAATTTTCTAAAAGATATTGCAGAGAACACTGCTGGGGATTGTTCTACTTTAATAATTACTGAGAAACAAGTATCGAAATGATAATTTCCATATACTTGATTTCATTAACAAATATAATTATTGGCCACCGGAAATGGTGGGGATTCATTCATAATTTTATTACTTTTTAGTAAGTTACCCTTTTCCTCGGTCTTTTTTTTTTGATAATTCACTTCTATGTGCTTTAATATATAGTTATATACATGTAATGATCTCTTGTATAGTTTTACTTTGAAGATCTGTCAATTAAATTGACTTGACCGCCAGACAACAGAGTTACCGCCCTTGTGCTCCAAATATTCATAAACATCAAACAAACATCCAAATCAAAATATAAAGTAAGAGTAAACGGGAAACGTGCGAGACAATACATAAAATGAAAAATGTCTCTGAAGATGCATCACAAAGAGATTAATGTCTTATGTATTCCTATGTAAAACTATGATCACTCATATTTCCTATGTAACATGCATGATCAGGTTCTTACAAGGGGTATATAGGTTTTCCTTTTACTCTGTGTGAATTAATGATTGGAATGATTATTAAGACATCTCTGTCTGAGGGTATATATCACACCGTTCTTGAATTTTCTCTTATCTAGAGACCAAGGTCGTATCTACCATTGAGGCAAGCGAGGCAAATGCCTCGCTAAAATTTTAGAATTTTTTGAAAAATGAAAAAAAAAGTTTTACCTTGAACTTTAATTAATTACATGTGTCTTTGTACTTTATTAATATTTTCAACTTTTATTTCAATTTCTGTAAATCGATCATTTCACCGGGTGCTTCATTATCGTTTAAAACGCATGTAAAAAAAATAATTCAAAACGTGAAAACTTTCAAAGATCTTTAAGTCAATTTACTAAAACCCAGGTTTCGGGAATTTCCCCCTCCCTCGGAGAGAACACCCATCAGGACACTACCCTAGACCCGCTTGAAACTCGGGTGGCCCCAGATTCCTTTGCCTCACTAAAAAATTGAGCCTAGTTAGGGCCTTGGAGACGGGGACTGGGTAAGGTACTACTTGCACCGTGTTTCTCCTCTAGGTTCCCACTGATAGATAAGAACTGGGTGTCTCAATCTTCTTCAGATTTACTACACCCAGAACCTAACATCAATTCCGTAGGATACTTGCCAGTAGTGTTTGTTAATTTTATTTTGCTCTTACCCTTAAGGTTTTCCATCACTGAAAGGACCAAATTCTCTATCCTAAAATGTCCATTACAGGCATAAAACTCTGATATTAATTTAAAGCATTTTACAGTAGAAAAGGATTTACCAAGAAAACGTTCAAAAATGTAATTAACTAAGTAGTAATTAATTAACAAAGATAAAAGACTATGGGGACAAGTATTTTTTCAAAAATAAAAATTCAAATAATATCAATAAATACTATGGTGGAAAGATGCATAAAAACATTAGAAATAAAATGACAATTGAAAACATTTTTTTTTACCAGATAAGTTTTTTAAACTTGATTTTTTTTATTAATTAAAAACAGAGGGATATAACTCTTACCAAAGTTCAAGGTCATAAATTAAGATAAATCCCACCCTTACATGCTAATAGTTATAAATGGGAATTATGTCTAAGTATACTAAGTATTCAACATCAATACACCTGATATGTATTCAATTTCATTGAATCTGTTACTATTAGGGATGGAATACCTTAACTTCTTTATTGCTGATTCAACATCCAACTTCTTCAGCTAGATTCTAAATGCCTGACTTCCTCAAAGCACTGCCTTATATCCCCTTTGGTTTAGCTAGTCCATTCCCCTTCACCCAAGGAATTTTTGTGGCTAGTTTGGTTGAAACTGGCCCAATGGTTCTTGAGAAGAAGTCAAAAATGTGAAAAGTTTACAGACGACGGACGACAGACGGACGCCGGACACACTTTGATCAGAAAAGTTCACTTGAGCCTTCGGCTCAGGTGAGAGCTAAGAAGTGTGCGTATTTAGTAAAATGTAGTGAGATTACTGTCCATAATTAGTGATAAAAATTCGATAAAAGGCCCCATCTGTGTGAGAAATAGCTCCATCGCCTGTTTATGGAGGGACAAAGGGGAACTCGAGTATACCTGCATTAACGAAATTCCCTAGGTAGTTGTTTTTGTTGATTCCGGAATTCTTGTCAGAAAACAACTCGTCAACAAATGTCATCGATAAATATTTCTAATCAAAATGTCATAATCTATTCTACACAACAGAAAATCGAAACACCAGAAATTTTAAGAAATGCTGTTCATGAAAATAGGTAAATAATACATGTGTCTGCAATGAGCAATAAGTTTGTTATAAAGCTTTTATTGGATATCATTTTTTATCAGTAGCTCCATTACAGTATAATGAAATTTATATTTTACAGGAATTTTGTATTTACTATTCCTACCGGACAACAGCAAAATCCGTAGTTAGCATAAAGATGTACAATTAATTTCAATCTTTTGAAATTTCTAAAAATAATTAACCAACCAATGCTTTTTAATAATTAATATACCTACGTTGTTTAGTTGTATAAACTTTCAATTTAGCATTCATGTATATTGCTGACAGTCAAATAATATCTCAAGCAATTAAAAGGCGAGTAAATATTGTCGTCAGACAGATATGTCAAACTTTGCTTGCTTTAAATAATGGTATCAATCCACAACACTGCATGAGAGAAATGAATGACGGTACAACAAGACCCATTCTGCATTCTGTGTTTAACAATGATCAATGATGCAGAACTCGCAGAAATGTAGAAGAAATTTCCAAAAACCACTAACTAAATCTACAACTCAATCAGAAACATGTTAAAGCGCCTCCGTTAGATAATTCCAATCTTAAAGAATTATCAAAATATATTGTTGCACGGAAAAACAATGATTGCTTAAGCTTCTTTACACAGATAAATCAGGGGTAAAGCATCATTATATGTCATGCAAGTATGACGTGCAAGGAAAGAAATCCATATTGAGATATATTAATAGTGAATTTAGATTTCGAATTCTACCCTGATATGAAGGCAACAGTTGTAAGAAGTGTGTGAAACATATGGAACCACTTTCTGTTCAAAAGACACAATCAAACATCAAATGCTTGTACTCGGGTAGTACTCCCGATTGAATCCGACCTATATTTAACTGTTATTCTAAAAATATCACTGTAGAAATTGAATTTTGTATCGAGAAATATTGATATTTCACGCGCTGAATAATGGTTTTTGAGTACATCAATTTTTATATGGTATCGTTTTCTACACGGATTTCTTCTGACTGTCTCTGACGCAGAGTGTTTGGACGTCAGCTTCGTAA